CGAGAGGGAGAAGCGCAGCATGCACTCCACGACGGGCAGCGCCGTGGTCTGCGCGCGCGACCGCGGCGTGCTCAGGTACATGAGCGTGGTGACCGCCGACATCACCGTCTCCTCGTTGGAGCTGGACAGGCAGTTTATGATGGGCTCCACGCCGTTGGCCTCCAGGATGTATTCCTTGTTGGCTTTGTCCAGGCACAGGTTACAAAGGCCACCTGAAGAGCCGTGAGAGAATGTCTGATTTAATGGAAGACGTTCTTCTCTCCGCACCCCCACCTGTTTCAAGCAAAGCTTTAAGTCTACCACTACAACTAGGATCCTTCACTCTTTCTTACATTTGAAACAAGCACAATGAAATCCTTGTTTAAGCACATACTTGGTTCGCATCTCATTTCCTCCCTTTTCTTTTTTGTTTTAACAATTGTGCCCTTCATCCTGGAAAAAGCAAGTGGCAACAGCCTGCCTATATTCCATAGCTTTTTATTTACTGATACCAATATACTTTTGGCCTTGAACAGTGTTGGACGCTCAGTAAACTTCTGAGTTGTCCTCACATGACCACTTTCCTTCTTTTGATAAACTGACACACAAACATATTTTTCCTGAGCAATATGAGGTAAATGTAATTGTCACTATCTTTTAACTTTTAGTACAAGATAGGATTTTAATTATCTAGCCTTTTTTTTTCTCCTTGCCATTACCACATTGAGCCTAGTAAAAATTATTTACCTAAATGAAATAGTGCAATGACGATGATTCTGATAATCCCTGTTTTCCAATACAGAAATAAACAGCTAGATTGGCTGTCAGGTTTGTTGGAAAGCTTTTAACTGCTCCTGTGCAATTTTCTTGATTCTTTTATAGGTTTTTTCACCAGCACACTCTTCCAGTATGTCATTAGAGGGCACTGTGCTTCTGGACGTAATGTCTTCCATAGAATGAGAAATACCATTAACACTGAACCCACAGTTGTGGTTACAATCCAGCGGTTTATGGCAGATGTTTTAGCAAAACAGAGACCAGAGATACTAAAACCAGCGAAGAGTCTGACAATATTTGTACTTGCAAGTTTGAGGTGTGGACATACTCTACTGCAGCTCAGGCAACAAACTCAAACCTTAGAAATTAGATATATTTAAAATCATTGCCCAGAATCGCTCACAATTAGGATCTGGCCTGCTGTTTTTATTTAGAGCAGGACGAGCACAATGAATCACTGTAAGGCAATTCCTCAGAGGGCTTATTAAATTATGAAGAACAAGTATTCCAGCAGACTGGCTGTCAACACTAGGAGGAGAATCCTGGATGTGTGTGTTGTACCGGGCAAGAGCTCACTCCCAATGACCGTCTCGCTAAAGGAGGCATTGGGGTAAGAATTCATTCAGCTGGTGCTTTCTTCTAGTATACAAAAGCGATGTCTTGTGCTTGCAGCACCGGTGACACCTGCCATGGGCCCACCTGAGAGTCTGAGGCTACTGGAAACCAGGCCAGTTGGGGACCCCATGCGCACTGCCCCCTTACCCATGGCGAACTCCACCAGCGCCTCGCTGTCCTCGCTGAGCGTGTCCAGGAAGAGGTCCAGCACCTGCAGCCGCCGCTGATGCTCGTAGTTCTGGGGGTCGTAGGCGAAGTTGGCCAGGTTGGCCAGGACCTGCTCCTTGGCGTCTGCGGGGCAGAGGCAGCGGCTGAGCGGGGCGGCGGGAAGCGGGCGCGCTGCCTCCCGCCGCGGAGGGGAGGAGAGGGGCTCACCTGGGCTGTCGGTGGCCTGGAACTCGGTGACCAGCGCCTGCAGGTACTCCAGCCGGCCCAGCTCCATGG